TAGGCTACCGGACTCGTAATCGTGAGGTTGTCGGTGGTCTAGTGGTTAGGCTACCGGACTCGTAATCGTGAGGGTTAGGGTTCGGGGGTTCGATGTTGTGTCCCTTACACGAAGGCCCCACTTGGCTCGGTCCTATCGGAGGCGGACGTTAAATTAGGAGGTCCCGCCTCTTAAATAACCTAATAGTGTTGATAGGGGCGTTAAACTCATACCATTACCATTTCAGACAAGAGCGAGTCCCAGGCCGCGTCGATGAAGGAGAGCGCCGAGAAGTGGACGGGGGCGCTGCTGACCTTGCTCAACACGCCGCGGGAGGTCAAGGACGTGACCCCGGAGGTCAGCGGGAAGTCGGGTGACGAGGGGAAGGACAAGGCGAGGAGAGAGGAGACCTCGGAGCAGGTGAGTGTGTGCTGTAGAGAGACCAAATCTTTTGATTCATTCAAATGTCAGCTGAAGTCGTTTTCTGTTTTTGAATTAATAAGATGAATATTTGGAATAATTTTCTTTAGTCAGAACACAACGTTTTATGTGACTGCAGTACATTGTACTGTATTGTAAAGCGCTCAGAGCCTGTGTACTTTAATCGTGGTTGAGCGCTATAGAAATGTCATATATTATTATTATAATATTAGTCTGTGTGACACACACAGTGGGTGTTGTAGTGAGTCGAGGGTTCGCTGTGGCATCTGTGGTGTAGAGGTTAGGCAGCTCTCTGTGGTCCGTAGGAGACCTGAGATCGATTCCCGGGTGTATAGAAATTGATACTGAGTACCTCAGACTTCCTGCTGCGATGTTGTATCCCTCTCAGCCCGGGTTAGCCCTTACAGGCAGGGTCGGAAGCCCATCTCCTGAATGATCTAAATTGTGTCAACAGGAACGTAAAAACACTTATATATGTGTTGAAACTGTCGCAAAACTCTTGCTAAAACTAAATTAAACTATAATAATAATAATGATAATTAAAAAAATACAAAATGATAGTAATAATTAGAGTGCAAATTAATACAGCGTCTAATCCGTAGAAAGCTCTCAGCACTGTACAGTGCAGAATTTTCACTAAACTGACGAATCAAAGGACAGACATTGCACACTGTGAGCCCATTTATGAATACCCCCACACATACACACACAAACACACACGGACACACATA